TTATTGCAAGTGATGCATTTTGCCATCCTTTTTTTGACTTGGATTAGAACTCTTTTTGATCAGAGTTGGATTTGGACTAAATGAATTAATGGACATTTAGTCTAATGATACTCCTTACCTTATGAAGACTTTGTCAAGGTCAAGAGTTCAAATCTCACTCCCAAAAAAAAAATACAAAAAAAAAAAAATTAAATGATCTTTTTATCTTGTGCCAATTTCTCCATCATCACCTTCTATTTTTTTGTACTATTACAAATTTAACGTTTCACCATTTTCACTTTTCTAAATTTTTAAAAATTAATTAAATAATGGACAATATTTTTAGTAATATGAGGATTAAAAAATGATGAAACGGGGGAAACAAATTTCTTGTATCGCACGGGATGCTAGTTAGGATAATTAGAGGTTACATGACCAAGTAAAATAATTGCTTAGAAATAAATCTTTATTTTCACTACTGATGTCATCAACGACACTATGACTTAGCTCGCGGGTCAGCCCAAAATACACAGGATATCCATTAGCCTCAAGGATTGGGTCGGAGTCTGCGTTTTAGCCCATTTCATCCTGACAAGCTGGCCCATTATCTTTGTGGCCTGATTTAAAAGCCATTGAAGACTACATTGTGGATAGGACCGATAATTAACTCAAGTTACTTATAATCGATTATGCTTCGGTTTATTTTGGGTTTGTTTCGAGTTTTACTAGTTTAAAGAATAAATAGAGCTCGAAGAATTTTTTATACCATTTTTATTTTTGGGCTTGGTTCAAGCTCGGATCGCTTAGAAACGAGTAGAACTTGAATAATTGTTTAAACGAGCATAAAAGGCTTGATTCGATCTCGTAAAAATATTAGCTTTTTTATATGTAAAATATTTGAATTATTTGGGTTCAACTTGTTTTGAGTTTGATTTGGGCTCGACTCGTTACTAAGTGAACATAATATGAATAATTTTTTTAACTAGTTCAAAAAATTGAATTTGTTTACTCGTCTCAATTATCAACCTCATACATGGATGACCTATTAAATACTCCGTTAAGGCTGGCTCGATGAACTCAAACCATTCACCTCCCTCTCGTGGCAGTATAATATTGGGTGTAACGGGGAACACTATGTTATTATTATTACGTGGTGTCACCATCTAATAATAAATTTACAAGTGGACAAAATAAACCTCTTTTTTGATACATGTTGATTTATTATTAATTTGTGATATCACGTGACAATATTGACGTGATGTCATTGTTATATTCAATATTTTCTTTTCTCTTGGCGGCTATCCTGGCCCTAATGATCCGATGATGCGGATTGTTATGGCCAGTTTTGAGATAGATTGACATTGTTTAAGATAAACTTTTCTGTATTATCTATTAAGTCTTCCAATGAAAACGTCATTGAAGATGAAACCAATATGTCATGGTGATCATATCAATTTAATGGATATAAAATTCTATGTTGAATAACTCTACAAAATTACAAGCTCCTTACGCAAGGTCTGATGTATTATAGGTTTGAGAAGTCCGCAGCATCTGTGTACGTGACTATCTAACATTTGGATTTAATGTAGATCTCATCAAACATTAGAATTTAATTTTGATGTAATGATTCCTATGAAGTCATATCATTATGTCAGCAAATTAAGTTAAATTTTTAAGTTCAAATAGTAGTACTCCTATCTTAAATATGTCCCTAAATTCTACATTTTCGAACCGAAAGAAAACATTTCAAGTTTAATTTCTATTTTATTAGTAAATAAGTAACCACTCTTTTTTTTTTACAAGGTATTCAAGTTTGTATCAATTACTCTCTCGAATTCAACAGTTGGCTACCATGACTTGAGTTGAGTTAGAGTATATTTCTAACGAGACAAGAGTGACTAACGCTTAATGAGCATGAGAAGGAATTGAACTCGAGACCTCTAAATTACTAGAGATCAAATTCACCTATAGAATCACTCCTAAAAATTATGTTACTGCCATCTTCACCTAGAAAATATTGGTCCAAGACTTTGTTAAACTTAGAAGTAATGCCTCTTCATACTTTAGTGTTTGAACTACTTCAACGGTCAAGAGTGTTTGAATTAATTTGTACACACCTCGATTAATCAGTTAAATTTACAATTCATTCATGTTATATCCTAAGCTTCCTCATAGTTATACTTTGGTTTTGTATCTAGATTCTAGACAACTTAAAAGCAATGTTCAGTCAAAGAGATAGAAGAAAAGCCAAAAAAAAAAAAAACAAACTTAATATTAAACCATTTTTGTCACCTCTTTTGTTGGAGTAGACAATGTTGAAACTTCATTCAAAGGTTTACCTTAAATATTTTAATGGGTGCTGCTAAATAGTTTAGTGTTTGTTGCCGCCTGTACCGGATCACTGTCTCAACTATTACCATTTTGGCTGGGTCAATGATCTCGAAGCACCTACGTACCTTCCTAATCTCTCCATGTTAGAATTGCATTGAATATCGTAAATTAAATCTTGAATACCTATAATTTATTGATACTGTTAAACTATTAAAAATATTATCAAAAATATTATTAATAAGATTTAAATTCAAAATATTTACGTTTATGATTCGTCTTAAACTAACCCCTTCTTTTTTATAAATTTATGTGGTCTCAATACGATAAGTGCATTTTTATAATCGGGTTGGAACGCTAAGCGATTTTCTTAAAACTCTCGATTATAAAAGTCTACCGCCTATAAAAAAATGTTAGAAAAATGAATTCTGACAAAAAATATAATTTAATCAAAAATAATATTTTGTATATGCAGTCCTCCCAGTTACATGTGTCCATTGCCTTTGGGATTTTCGTGAGTGATGATCATCTTCCTTGAAGGGTACTGGTGATGAGCCATTATGTATTTGGACCTTCTGTTCTTTTATGTGAACACAAGAGCTAGAATCAACTAGTCTAATGTACATTTACTAATCTTCTTATTAGTTTAGTTTTGACCTTTCTCTTATTATTTTTTCATTATTAATATGCTGATGGGAGGATGATGTAAGCCTAGCGTAATAAGTTTTTGAAATTTATATCAATATTAAATGTTGTTTGATCAAGTCTAACCTAGGCTGCAAATTTTGTTTTGGACTCTATTGTCAAATAAAACATGGACATTTTATTTTATTTTTTCCAATTTCTTATTGTCGCCATTGGGAGAATGGACTCGGGGGGAGGGGGCCGCAGTCAGGGTTGTTTTGATAGAGATCCGATGGTTGCACCCCTATTCAAAGTCAATCAACAGTTACATCTATCTCTAGTCGCTGACAATCTCTCTTTTTGTTTTCCTTTGAACTGAAAATAGAAATAAAAATCAATTTGAAATCGATAATGAATCTTCTTTCTCACTTTTTAATTTTGTTTTCGACACTAAAATGGGATTCAATTTTGGAATTTTAATTTTGGAGTTTTTGAACCGATTTGGTTACTTTTCAATTGATTCATTGCCATAGAGTTTTTAAGTCTTTGAGTTGAGACGGGATGCATATTTTCTTCTTTTTCGAGAGGGGAAGGGGTATGAAGGAGTTGTAGGTTTTTCGTAGGATGGAGAATTTTGATATACTAATAATGTCGAGAAGAACAAAGAGACTTGTCGGGCATCACATGCGTGGAAATTTTACATTGGATAAAAATGAGATTCTCACCCGATAAATATGAATTCCAAACATGTTTATTAAACAATTTCTTTTCTCTCAACAAGAATCAATGAGAATATGAAGGGGTTGTTACCTTTTCTTCACTTTCATTTTAAAATAATAAGATGATAAATAAAGTGCTAATAAATGGGCAATCCAAGCAGTGCCGGCCAAACCTTTAGGCAACTTAGGTCATTGCCTAGGTCCCCAAATTGGAAGAAAAATTTGGAGCCCCCAAAAAAAAATTATTATTATTTTAGAATATAATTTAAATACTTAATATATTTTAATTATTGAATTAATAGTGAATGCTAAGTTTAAACAAAAATTACTATTTATCTAATGTACGTAATCCTCAAATTAAGTGTAACTAGAATTATTGTAAAATTTTTAGAACCTCTTTTAAAAAAATTTAGGGCCCTAAAGTTCAGTTTATTTTTTTATCTCACCTGATATTTATATTATATGTATTATCACTTTGCAGTCTTCTTATTAAAATCAATTGTCTATCGTATAATAGGTACGAATAATAATTTTATATTTGTATATGTTAAATTTGAGGTCATTTTTTAATAATTTTGGTTACGATACACATGATGACTATAAAATAGAGTGAGTAGAAATAATACACTAGCTATCTTAGACTGATTAACCATAGTTGTCTTACTAAAATTTTTTATTTAAAAATTGATCTAATAATATCTCATTTATTTTAAGACTACTCAACTTGTGTAAATTCGTATTTTATATACATTAATAAAAAAATTATTTCACTAGTCAACTTAATTTTCAATTATGTTTCTCTTTTATAACAAATAGTATGTATTATTATATTTGATCTCCGTATTTGACTTCGATTAATACAATTTTTATTTGTAAACTTTGAATTAGTATGTTATGTCTTAAAAGACAAAACAAATAATTTATAAATAAATATATGTTAATAAGTTTTTAATATTACTATTATTACTGAATAAATATTTATACGACCTCGTATAACATTTTTGTCCATGCCCCAAATTAGCTTGGGCCGCCCCGCCCCGAATCCAAGGAGGATAACAAGGATTTTACCTTCTTACAAATTCAGAGGGAAAAGGTGGGGTATTATTACGATGAATGATGATCAGCGTGACATCAACAACTTGTAATGTTTGATTATTTTGAAAATGACCCCACTAATAACGTTATTTGCCCGTATATAAAACTAAGTTTAACATGTAAAGGACTACGCACTTTTCACTATAAATACAGGGGAGCTTCACTCCCCTTCTCTCTATCCTCTGTTTAACATTTCATTCACCAGATAAACACTTCTTCATAACAACCCCCTTAGCGAGAGAAAAGATTCCTCCAATGGCCACTAAAGTTTACATTGTGTATGCATCACTCTCTCTCTCTCTCTCTCTTTTAATGCAAGTATAAGCAATAGTCTCTGTATCTATGGTGTTTGTAGAGAGAGTTCTCTTCTCTACTATGGTTGTGCTCTGTTTTCGTGAATCATATTGTTTTTGGATTCTCTATACCACATTTGAACCAGACTCAAATAATGGGTTTGTTCGACTTCACTACATTTGATCCGGGTCTATGTGCTTCTTGAATATTGTATCTGTTTGATCTCCAAATCTGAAGATTCTATCAAGAAGAAAGTGATTTTGATTCCTGTTTCTCCCAACTAAATGAAATGTTGTGGCTTTATTACTGAAAACTCTGTCGTTGTTTTTCTTATATTCAGTCAAAGGTATTCATTTTCTTGGATAGTATTTCTATTAATATTTGTTTTGTAATTAGGTTTAGTTGACTCTTAGGCTCTTCTCATTTTGTTCACCTGTCAAAAGGATTGACTTGACATTTTTATTAGTAGTTCAAGTTCTTATAATGTGAACGCTTATTTGGAGAGCTTGTTTGAATAATTGTTACAGATTCATAAGGTACTGGCTTCATTTTGGGGGCTATGATAATAAATTACAATCTTTTTCGATCTGTGATCAAAATCCAATCGTCTCGAGTAATATTGGCTTAGCTTTAAACTTAATCAGCTGGTGCGCTTTCAGGAAATTTGATGTTCTGGCAAATTTCTAAAGCTTTTTAAAAAATATGGATTAATAAAGTGTTGCATCTTTACTCTGATAGTGAAATGCAACTGGACTTTTTAGGTCCTGGCTTCATGTGGCAATTGTTCCTGTCAACATCGTGACTATTATTTTTTTTTTTTTGCATTATAAAAAGTTGAATTGATGCATTTTTCTGTCGGTAAGGATTAATGTTGAAAAACCTATGGTGTTACAGTTACTACTCGATGTATGGACACGTTGAGAGGCTGGCACAAGAGATACAGAAAGGGGCTGCATCTGTTGAAGGAGTCGAGGCAAAATTGTGGCAGGCACGCAACCACTAATTCTCTTTCTGACAAATCTACGAATAAAAGTAAATCAAAAAATTATATCAGGTTATGATAAATTTAACCAGGTTACATGAAACTGTATACATGATAAAACAATGGAACAGGTGCCCGAGACATTGTCTGAAGACATTCTTGGAAAGATGAGTGCGGCTCCAAAGAGTGAGGTGCCAATCATTACCCCCAATGAGCTTTCGGAGGCAGATGGATTTGTGTTTGGTTTCCCCACTAGATTTGGAATGATGGCTGCTCAATTTAAAGCATTTCTGGATTCAACCGGAGGTCAGTGGAGAACTCAGGCACTAGCAGGCAAGCCAGCAGGCCTCTTCTACAGCACTGGATCTCAAGGAGGGGGCCAGGAGACTACTGCGTGAGTTCCTATCTCTCAAATCTCTACATGAACTGAAAGTTGTGTTTGAGAACTCTGATATGCTAAAACCAAAATAACAATGAAAGTAGTACTTCTAATCTCGTGTACTGGGGCTGCTCCTTTTTTTTTTATTAAATATACAGCTTGACGGCCATCACTCAGCTTGTTCACCACGGTATGATTTTTGTGCCTATTGGCTACACATTTGGAGCTGGCATGTTTGAGATGGAGAAGATTAAGGGTGGATCTCCCTATGGTTCTGGAACTTATGCTGGAGATGGCTCGAGACAGCCTACTGAGCTTGAACTGGAACAAGCTTTTCACCAGGGGAAGTACATTGCTGGCATTGCAAAGAAGCTCAAGGGAACTGCTTGAATTTGCACACTCACCATATCTCCAATAATGGAATTCTACAATAGCAATTGTTTTGTTTCCTTACTGTTCCTAGTTTCAGTCAAAATATGCACTTGTGCTTATTAAAATAAATGTCTTTATTTCGCCTTCTTAGTGCGTCTCAATATACATAGTGTTCGCTTTCAATGAAAAAAATTTCTTACATTTTTGTTTCGAGTTATTGCCAACTTCAAATTCCCTTTGTATTCTACAAATGAGCAACCAAGAACCTGTCCTTGTTCTAGGGGGTGTTGTGCTGAGTTTTGGTTGCCACTGAGAGTGAATGAACTTAAAGAACTGCAGATTTTGATCGAATTTTACACCTTTGTGTGTGGCTATGTATATGGATGTGCATAAATAAAGAAGGCACGGGACATCTCTCGGGTTTTTTTTTGCCGGGGGGAGGGAGGGGAAGAGAGAGGGAAGAAGCTGGTCAAGATGCAGAACAGTGCCATTTATTGGGTCTATTGCTGTGGAGGCCATCAATATTATTATTTTGGGAGAATTACGCTTTCCCTTTAAGTTTGTCACTTAATCACTCAGATCCTTTGACGTTTGAAATATTATACAGAGATTTTCTAAGACTTGTATGCGCGTAACACTTAAGACTCTTGCCGTTAAATGTGCGTTAATATATCTGTTAGTAAATTATATCCAAATCCTTTAAAATTTGTAAATATGTAAAAGTTAGACCACTCAAGTTTAAAATGTTATATTAAAACTAAAAATATTCTAATCAAAGATAGAATATCAAATATTTTAAATTTTAAAATAAAAATTCATGTTATATTGTATCATTTATCGAAATAGAATAAAAAATAAAAAGATAATTTTTTTAAAAAAAATTATAATTAGTATACAATTATACTATCTATTGTATTACAACTAAAAAATTAAATAAGAGGACTAAGTCATTCATAATAGAACATAAATCTTACAACCCAAATTCATGTTCTATTATGTTATTTATTAAAATAAAATCAAAAATAAAAATTTAATTTTTCTTAAAAAATTATAATTAACATACAATTATACTATATATTATAATACAATTAAAAAAATTAAATAACGGATCAAACTATAATGACAATAATATATTCTAGCTTTAATTGAGATAATTTTGTAGTTTAATTTTGTCGTTTAAACGACCAAATTAAATTACAATAGATAGTATAATAGTATAATAATTATGATTTTTTAAGAAAAAAATTAAATTTTTATTTTTATTTTATTTCAATAAATAGCATAATAGAATATGAATATTAGTTGTAAAATTTAAAATATTTAATATTCTATTTTTTATTGGAATATTTTTAGCCTAAAGATAACATTTTAAATTTGAGGAGTTTAACTATTATACGCTTATAAATTTTAGGGGGTCTGAATATAATTTATTAACGGATATACTAACGGACATTGACGTCATAGGTTTAAGTGTTATGTACATACAAATTTCAAGGGGTCTGTGCTTAATATTTTAAACGTCAAGATATCTAAGTGATTAAGTGACAATCCTCGGGAGATTTGAATATAATTCTCTCTATTATTTTTCAATGCTGATCCAACAGGTATAAGGATTTTGCTTGAGATAACTGATTTGAGCCTGAAGAGGTGTCAAAGAGCTTGGGCTCATGCGCGACAAATTTGGTGTGTCCAAGAGAAGCCAAGGTCCATGGGCCGAAAAATGTTGGCTGAGGTCCATGGGCCAAACAAAATCTCGGTAGCGTGCTCAAAATCTCCTATTTCTGCAGAGGAAGATTGTCAAAAAAACTCCCCCCCACCAGCTGAGCTTCAAAAGACATTGATACATAGCTTGTTAGGAAGTGTCAGAGTATTTCCAGGAGAAAAATGTTCCATATCATCTCTTCGAAATTGGGAGTTCTTAGTCCTAATAAAGGAAGCATATAGCGTTTCTACCTCATCAATTCCTCCATGCTTTTCTCTAATTAGTTTGGTTATGTTCCTCTTTTTACTCTGCTGATCCATGAACTTCTGTTCAATGTTGATGCGATAAAATTCATTTCTCATGACATTAAACATAGCCTGAGGTGAAGATGGCCTTTTTCATCACATCCCGAAGCTGATAAATACACCAATTAACCATCTTCTTCACCGAAACAAGTACTTACAACATTAACAGGCGAATATTGATCTGGGGTGATTAAAATTGGAGATCGCACATAAATCAGAATCGATCTTTATGCAATTTCAAATCAGCAGCTTAATTATTCCCTTGCAGCATACGCATCAGGATTATTCATACTTGAGCAACTTGACCATACATAAATTCTTTGTTTTTTTTCTTTGAACTGATCACAATACATTATGTCAACTACCCTTGGTTTCCTTCCTAGCATATTCCTCAAATCTTGGAACAATTCAACAGTAGAACAACTCACAAGCCGGAGAAACAATATGCTTGATGTCGATTGTCAAAGTTAACTTGCTTGACAGTCAGCTTTATTCATATGCTTAAATGTTTTGAGTTCATACTGATATACAGTTCTCAACTAGCTGTCTATTGCTGCAACACAAAGTTCATGAATAGCTAGGTACTCCCACAATTTGCACCTAAACTGAAACTTGCATAATGGGATGAGGACTATGAACAAACAAGATGGTGGGTCATTTTGTGTTGTAAAATTCGTCTCATTTTTCCTAGGAAACAAGTTAAACAACATTATTAGCAAACAACTGCACTGTCATAGCAGATGAACTCGGAAACAATGTAATTCAAGACAAGATATCTGATGTGAGAGCTTCTCTTCGAGTTTTCATTCCCCGATTGAAGGATCTGCAAGTTACATATAGTTAGATAGTTTATATGCAAAGCTTTGGCCAAAGATAAATTAGCATTTTTTGCTTCACACATTATGTGAATTGATTATCCGGTAACACACTATCAAAATTTTGTTTTTGTGCATTGTTTCGGTCACCTAAGAAACGGAAACGTTTCGATCCGTTTCAAAAACAAAAGTAGCAAAAATAAAAAATTTAAGAATTATATTTTCAAAATATTAGTTGAAATATACCAATGTATTTTAAAATACCATGCAACATTCCAAAATAATTGTACAAATACATAGAAACATCACAAAACACCTCAAAATATGAGAATTTTGATTCTATCACTGATTTATTTTGGTCTTTTTAGAAACCAAAATAAAAATATTTCAAACGTTTTAACCATTTTGAAACAAATTTTAATCTTTGCACCTAAGGTAAGTTAATAAGGAAATAGAACTATTTGTGGACATTAGCTCCTCCTAGCTAGGCAGCTCTAAGATTCTCTTGTGCAGAGTTCTAGTCTATGCAAATGTTCAGAAAAGAATCTGCACATGGGAGCCTTTGCAAAAAAGTGTACACAAGATGCTTTTGGGTTAAAGTGAATTTCATCTCTGTGGTTGAAATTACAGATGTAATCCTGGGGAGGAAAACTTCAGGAGGAGGACTTGCCACCACTCATAAGAAAAAACCTGAACTGGCACATTAAAAACCTTTCAGTGGCTTTTTCTGTTGAGAAAAAGCTAAGAAGATCAGATTCAAATGTTCATAAAGAAAACCCTTTTATTAAGGAAAAAACTTCTCACAGAAGACAAAAATACAGACTTGGCCATGATTAGCCAAAACAAGAAAAGCAAGCCCTGCGATAAAAGTAAGATTGGAACTGCTGGGGAGTCACATACACTTTAAGAACATCTCAATGATGCCAATATACTTTTCTTTTAGTATCCCTTTATGTTTCTTCTTTCTATTAAAACTACACCATATTCTAGGAAAAATAAGAATTGAATTCCAAGAGTACTGAAGAGCAAGAGGGTACAGATCCGATGCTTAAAGGTATGGAAATATTATACCCATCACCCTGATCAATTCGATAGTCACAAAAAGATTATAAAGTTGGTTGCCAAGAGATACTAATCAAGAAAAATGTTTACTGTTAAACATACCTTTTTTATGACTTGTCACTTGTCTCGGGATTATTCAATATAAAGCTTCTCTATTTGATTCGTCAATTGATTATCTATGTATTTGGAATTTGTGTGAATGAGGATTGAAAATTATATTCTTCAAGTTGAGGTCTAAGATAAAAGGTGTCACAGATTAAATTAAACTAAGGTTGAGCTCAAATAGCCATTTGAAAACTCCCAACACTCTCTAAGCTTTATATATGATTGTTTCAAGCCAGGTTGCTTTTATTTACAGTTATTTTTATGTGAAATAAATGAGACCCTTCTGAAAATGGCTGGTGGTATCTTCTGCTAGAACAATTACTGTGGCCATGCTTCACGAGTTCAACAAACAAACATAAAGCGTACCGACAAAGCAAAGAAGGAGAAGAGTTCACACACGCAAAAGCTAAGACTTTTTAAGTATGTATGCCGAATTGTTCAAACAATCACTTAAAAAACAGATTGAAGAAAAAAAGTACTCATAAGCACAATTCATATTCCGGCACAGGAGAAAATTGTCGTGAGGTTGTAGAAAATCAGATTCTGAAGAAAACTTTATATAAAGTTTTGGGTTGAGGTCAAATGACCTTTTCCCCATTTATTCTGTTCCCTTGTGATTCATTTCCTTGGAGATGCATATATAATCAACGACTTGAGACGGTTCATCGGCAGTTATGTAATATGATGGACAAATATAGTAAAGCATTTTAACAAACAAAGTTGGCAAACACTTTTCTCCCTCTGATTTAATGATACTAACTGCTTCAAAATATGAGATCAAGGGGAAAAAATTCGAAGAAATATAAGCGTTTGTCTATAGAAAGGGTTGATGAACTGCGTCCCATATATTATGATTTTGTATGCGATCAATAAAAATGGAATTAGGAAGGGATTGATGAACCTGATTTTCTCCCAAAATGGCAGAAAATCAGACTCGTGGGAAAATTCCACCATTTTTGGATGAATACCAAATGAACATCTTTTACTCATTCAGTCCCGTGGACTCATTGCCTAGAAAAGGGATAGAAACTACATAGACTAATAACCATCTGTTACTTTGTAATGCATGATCAATTGGAACGTTCTCTATTTCTAATGTGTGGTCACCCAAACTCATATTGCTTGATCACGTTTAGGAGGAGCACTTTACGGGTCGTGAGCTTTGGATTTTTAGTGTACAATTAATACTAGAATCATTGATACTCTTGGTGTTCAGGTCACACATCGTGTATACATCTAGAGCACCTCGATTTGATGGGATCGTGTTAGGACTATGGTGAAATGTATTTAGAGTGAGGGAGATGGGAGATCAAGTTGCAAGTGTACAAACACACACGAACCCTAAAAGCATGAACAGTGGGCCGCCCTCTGACTTCCACTATACAAATAAACAAGTCTAAAGTTTAGACGAATAAATGAGCTCCACACACTAAGTCTCCCACTTCTTTCTTAAATTCAATGATAATCTCTTTCATTCTTTGTTTTCTCTTCAACCAAAGTAAAAGGTGGTGCCAACCCTACATGTATTAGGAACAAGAACAAAAGCCCCTTAATTTAGCTCAACAACAACATCACATTCTCCTAAACTAATATACACTTCCAGCTAAATTAAGAACCTTTTCTTTGTTCCTAACCCACCTCTAACTATATAGTACAAGTTATTTGAAAACTCTACATTATCCTTTAATGGAACCAAATCATTTGCTAGCCTACATCATTCTGCCTGTAGCTGGCCCATCTTTGGCTGTCCTTCCTTGGAGGGTCACTTCCTTTTTCTCTCTCTATCTCTCTCTCTTTCCCTTTGTCTTTCTTTTCTTCAATGCTTGAAAAACATACCAATGTGGCTTTCATTCTTTGATTTTCTTTATAAGTTAAAGGTGTCATGCCCAGTTTTGCTAGGCATGTATAAGAATAGTTGCAGAAAATGAGTTCCATGGCTATATTTACTTTAGCTCCCTCATTTCTACCTGAATGTTCCTCCGAATGTTGGTGTCCAGAAATCAGCTGTAGTCTCGGTGGCAACTGGGAAAGTGCTCGATATTGGCACGAGGCAAAGCCCTCGGCTTCTTAAGTCTTGCTTTGGCTCCTCTTGGTCCTTCATTTTATCAGGAATCTGCAAAATGAACCAATTATTTCTCACATTATAGGCAAAACGAAGATGAAAGCCAAACTTAATTTATATTTAAATAAAATAAGAGTTCAAGTCCTTCTAGTGTAAGCAGTTTTACAAGCGAAAAAATGTATAGAAGTGAATCTCATACCTGTTGACGTTGAACTGCAGCTCCATTTTTAATGTATGGTGTACTTAAAACCTGAAATTAGCGTGACACGAATAAAATCAAAATTAGGCACAGATTTTTATATATTGAATTCTGTTAGAACTCAATTTTAATCCAAAAAGTTGAGAACGAGAAGATATAATTGGAACATACACCAACTTGATCATGGAGGAACTTGATGTACTCTATAGCTTCATGGAGAACCGATGCAGTATCAGTCTACAAGAGAAGAACATGATTGGTGTTTACTCTAAGAACAGTACTCCAAAAAGTAGATGAAAAATCCAAAAAATTACCTTTCCGAAAGGTGAAACCAATTGCTGTAGAGCAGTTATTCGGTCCCCTAGCTTCTCTTTTCGGACCTGACAACAAAGCTAGAAAGATTTCATCCATTTCTTTGAAAAAGATAATAATTTTACTAGCACAAAAAAGTTATTAAAGCTCCTTTTAGTCAAAAGCTTGATCGAATCTATCGTACCTTGAAAGTTGGTAATGGCGACGGTGTTTCAATTCGCGGTCTTTTGAAAGCAGGCTCACTGCTAGTTTTCGTTGACACGGAGCCTGGTTCTTGGAAGTCTTCATTATGAAGCTGAAATTTTAAGACACTAAATAGTTTAATTCCAAAACCCCAGTGATAACATACCAAACAACCAACTTTTGTTTACTATTGATCTTCATAATTACCTTTGCACTAAGGTTAAACGTTGATGTGAGAAGATGAGATTGTGTTGAAGCTAAAAGGTTGGCCCGAATATCGTTTAAAGCTGAAGCTGAGGCATTATTCCAAAAGTTTGTGATGTTGGAGGACTGCAAATGACTAGAAAGTTGCTGCTTTGGCAAAGAAGGCTTTAGCAAGGAAGAGAATTTAGGCAAAGAAGGCAAAAAATCATTCATATTTGTCAGAAAATCTGTTGTAGATGAATAATTCATTGACTGGTTGTCGAAAAAAGACTCTTGTGGTTGAGAATCTGTATCAAATATTGTTTGCAGCATAGTTGAAGGGTAACCATATGAAGTTGAACTCAATGGAAAGCTTGTAGATAAGCCTCGACAAGTTGCTGAATTTTCAACAGGGCTTGTGATGGAATTTAAGGGCTGTTGTTGGTCTAAAGAAAAACCCCCATTCATCGGTTCAAAGGCCTTTTGGATCTGAGGGCAGTCCTCCCCAGTTTCTTCATGATAATTCAAGCTTGAATTTAGGTCTTCTTGCGACATGGGATGATAATTGTTCTCTATTCTTCCACCACCACTGCAAAATGACAAGAAGAAAAAGAGAGTTTGATTGATCAAATTTACTTCCTTTTTCATATCATTATAAAGCATATAAGTCTCAAACACCCTGAAACTCTGGACCATGAGGTCCAGTAGCCTATCTAAAGTTCAACAATTATTGAAACCAAAATAATTTTTTTTTCCTATGTGGAGAATTTAATGATCATGTTACATAAAATATTTGACCCAAAAAAAAAATTGCTTACAGTAAAGGCTGGTTCCAGTCTGCTGCTATTGATGATGAAAGGCCAATACTCATCATCTCAATAGTCGAATTCAAGGCGATGTTGCCATCGCAGCCGATCGGGCTCGACTGCTGAGACTTTTGCATATCCTGAAAGAGTACAGACCCATCAGAAACTGGACCAGACTCATTACAAGACCTTATTACTTTCATGTCTACCAAGTCACTTGATGACCATCCAAAGCTTCCTATCTCTCCTATGGAAGAAGAACAAGGCGATGACCCGAACGTGGTTCTCAACGGGTTGAACCAACTTCCTCCACATACACCACTCCTGAATTCATCTGCCATGCCCACAGAGATTGTGTTTTCTCTTACCCTTTAAAAATAAACTGTCCTTCTCTCTCCCCTCTCTCTTCTTCCTCTTCTTCTTCTTTACTTCTTGCAGTTTTGGGTTCTCTATGAGTTTCCTTGTATGAAAAATGAATTCTCTTACTTGGTGTTATATATATAGTTATATACACATGTATGTGCAACGGTTTGGGTGTACGGACGGTAGAAACTACCGGAATCTGGTTGACATTTTAGAAAATGGATGATTAGACAAAACAAGGGTATTTTGAACCGAATTTTCTTTTATATAAAAAAAATATTCCTCTCTTCTACTTTAATAATTTATTATTTAATTATTTTTTCTCATTTTTGTGAAAATTTGTTCCTTATGAACAAAGGGACGTGGGGTATGATGGTGAAGTTTTGATATGGGTGCGATTTCACAGTTTAGGAAGAATAATGTAACTTTTGCTTGATTTGATCCAACGGCTGAGATTTTTTACGCCTATGAATAGGAATTTCTGGACCACACGTACACATAACTTTCAAGGGTCAATATGATTGTGAAGCATAGGCTACGTTTCTATTTCTATATACTACAAAGTGGTATCCCTAAAGCTGTTATTATTACTATGATAACGGTGGTCATACGTTTTTGAAACTAAGAGGGAGATATGATGAACAATAATGTTAGAGAATTTTTGTGCTATTTTGTTGTATGAAGTATGGATAACATAGGAATTTGAATTGAAATTGTCGAATATGAGGTGTCAAAATATAACATGACTCGTTAATAAGATATGAAATTAGAGGGTTTGAGTTTTTCTTAAACCACTCGTTTCGTAAACGAGTGAACCAAACTCGACACAATTAACAAACAAATTAAGTATGAGTGAAGTCAATAAATAAAAAATCAACGAAATGACTTGATTATATACCGATTATACATAATTTATATACGATACGAATCTGATATAATACGATTAGTTAGACATGTATTAATAAACGAATCAAGCATGAATGAAATATTTTTTGTCATAAATTCGCTTAGACAAAACACGAATCTGTTACATATTGTGTAAGACTAAATTCGAACATGTTAAACCAAATCTTTTTAACGTGAAACCCAATTATCTTGGTCATAATTAAAATGGTTTCCCATTATGAAAATTGATAAAACCACACTATATAGTGCAAAGGGTGAATCGTGAAGCCACTGGCATAAAGTTAAAGGTCATCAAAGAGGCTAGAAAATGGGTATCAAAATGCGTTTTTACCCCAAAAGTAATGAGCTCTTCATGGGTCATTTGATTGCACTATATCTACTATATATGATGTTCAGTCTTTTGGGTGTTTATAAATTCTAATATACTTGATTCTTTTTTGTAAGGAGCAATCGCCTTAATTACCGTTTTTTAAGACTCATATTTACTATGTCACAATCAAATATATGAAATTAACCATTAACCATATGATTGGTAAAACTTAGATCTTAACTGATGGAACTTGCACTCGGAACGTGGTGGTTTGCACCTTTTTTGCTAGTTCTACCGTCGAATTAACCGATGCCAACCGACGCCAGTCGTTGGAGCTTTTTTTTTAAAAAAAAAAATTGTGCTTTATTGTTTTTCAATAATTGTTAAATCCATACCAAAATTTCTAATTCTACATCTCAAGTTTTCTTAGAAAACCCTCTTTAACTTAAAAATTTTCAACCATGATAAACTGCAAGAAAGTATAACAAAAAGTATTCTCACCAAGAAAAATTCTAAAGTTGAACTCTATGGCCAAGAGAAGTCAAACCATTTCATATCAGGCTAAAGTGCTACAAACAAGAAATAGAACAAAAAATGACATAAGCCAAACTATTATCTCCTGGAATTAATCAATCTGTTGACTTAAACTGACCAAGCAGAAACCTTTGCTTACTATGAAAATTTTCTATTTCTTGACTAAAATAACTTTCTTTGTTGGCCCTTTTCATGGTAATTCAATACACAGATATGAACTAATTCAACTATTTGTGGCCTAATTTTTCCTGTAGTAAAGTATCCTGAAAATTTTCAATTAGAATCTTTTAACGACGATTGATAGTTAACTTATGGCATCACCAATTTTTATGTTGATTATGTGTCCGTAATTTTCAATTGTTTTGTTATATGACTATCATGATGGATCAAGAGGACTCAATAAGAGATGAGCGTGACATCAAACGCTGGGTCATGCCTGATAACAAGCAATTTCTTAACCCCTTTAACAAATTCACTTTAACTCGTTAAATTGTCATCGTTGTGAGAGGACCACAATACCACTCTCATTAGGTATAAAATTCATTTCAAAATCTTTCGGATTTAGACTTGATAGTAGGTAAATCAGAAACCCAACTCCACATAAACTTTTGACAAATAATAGACAATTTCTTCATAATGCCAAAATAAATTGAAGTTCAAAAAGCTGTAACATCAAAAAAATTACTAAAAACAAGCAATATACCGTTGACTTGCCCGAATCAAAGATTTCAAAGTCAAGTTAGGTCAGTTCCATGAGTTCCATATCCTTGAAAACTCTTAGGAAAATGACCTCCTTTGCTTTGATTTTCTCTAGTTCAGTGGATCACAGCTTTCTTAGTCATTATCCCCCCATACAGAATTCAATATAAAACTCTTCTTTTGGGGGCATTGACATCTTATTCATTAACATTTAAACACAATCCACGAATCTAACCCAAAATTAAAATAAAATTTGTAAATTTGAATATAACCTTAACGAGTTTGGATAATACATAAGAAGACCTGCTATACCAATCAAAATTATCCCCAGGACATAAACCGAACTAAACAAACACAAATCAACTAAACATGACAAAATAATAATACATGTTACAAACTCAACGTTTATGTTACTCAAAGTCAGCATACCGTAGGACTTTGGTGGAAATGTGCATCGTTTACTGGAATAAAAGCAAGTCCACGGTAATATAATTTTGTATTGCTAAGTAAGCTTACCTGCCATCTCTAGTTCCTTAATTAACTAAAAAGTAATGATTAGATAAGGGTATTTAAGTTAATAAATATCTATTACCTTCATTTTCAGTCTAAATGAATACAAACCGTCTAATCCCCTGTGGGTCGTACGGCGGCTCACTTGTGGCTTTAGGGCCCCACTTTCTATGCAAATCAATTTCTATTCTATGGTGGGTTTTTTTTTTTAATCTTTATTCCTTAAATATTGTATTTTATAATTTATTTTTTAAACTTTCATTGATTTTAAGAAAGGCACTACAAGATTAGGGTATTTTAAGATAATTTTTTTACGACAGCACTGTTCATTTGTCACAAAAATTATGTTTTGAAAAAAAAAAAAAATTTTAGGCCGATAATAATTTTATAAAAACTATTTGAGTTGAACTGCTGTCGCCATATCAACTTGTTATGACGACGTAATGCCGTCACAGTGCTGCCACAAAAAAAAATTTGAAACAGTAAATAACTTTTTTATTATACCACTTTGTTACCACAAATTTATTTATTTTTTTCTTGTAGTGATGTGTGGTTTAAATACACATACACACCGTGTTTGGGTATGTGTGTGTGTGTGGAGAAATGGGGTGGCTGAGGCATACTTGTTTGACCAAGGGCGGTGTGGGCGCGGAAATGGGTCAAAGAGAGGGAAGGGTCCACGAGACATTCGCGCGTGACACGGCACCTGGATCCGCTGGAGGAGTCAAAAGGGTACTAATGGTGATATTATTTTTACCCCCCCAAAAAAAAAAACCAAAAAAATAAAAAAAAATCTTGATTTTATTTTAAACACCACCCTAGTTGATCATTTACCCTTCACCTCCTCCTTTCTTTTTTATTTTTTTTAAATTTTTTATGATAATGAGTTCCGCACCAACTTACGCACATTTTGAATAGATTCCTCCCTAATCCGATTGTGCGTGCAAGATCCTGCACAATATAAAAAACGAGAACAGATATCTCCCTTGGTGAACTTCGAGTGAGCCGGTTGAGTGACCAAACACGCTGCTTGGGACAGCCTGCAAAATACGGTGGTAACCTGGAACGGCAACGGGAGACCCTGGGAAAGGAAGAACGATCATGTGAGGCTGAAAGGGGTTCCTGGAACAAAGAAGAACAAATTAGAAGGGCGCCGGAGTGTTTTTCGGCGTATCCCCTCCGACGGTCTAGTCAGTCTTTGAGTGAAAGAGAGGAAGGAGAAAACACTGAGAAAAATATATTGTAGTAGAGAGTTTGTTGTTGCATACCCGTCTTGCCTTTTGCAAGGAGTATTTATACCTCAAAAGCTCATGATTGCTGTCAGTGTGGTCAGTAGGTGATCATTAGGTGCAGGTTGCGTGTGCATTGATCCTGTTGAGGAATGTCTTCTCTAATTAACTGCTCGGGGTCCCGAGCAATCAATTCTGGGTCATCGGGATGCCGACGGTACAATGCACTCCTCTCGGGGAGGATGCAATAAATGCTCTGTAACAGGAGCATTTATTGCCTTTCATTTCCGAGTCTTACCGCATTGAATGTTGTCTCATCAAGGGAATGGGGCAATTAATTGTTTGCTTTCCCAAAGCGCGTGTCAGCAATAGCATGCGGTTTGTCTGTCTTTGATGTGATATCATATGCCACGCGTCCATCCCCTATTGGCTGTGACCTCTGTATTCCAGTATGTTCTGACATTACTTGTGTAAGACGAGGTCATGATGAATAGCCTAGACTAGCCTAGGTTGATGACCTGTACATCAATAGTTTATCCTGAAGTAGAGGAAGCGTCCAGGATGGGGGTACCTCTCGGCACCGAGGAAAGGCTCATCTCGGGGACCGAAGGAGGCATGCCGACCGAGGTACATATCAGACCGAGGCCACGTGTCGGTTGTAAAATATACTGAATGTATGATCCTATACGCCAGTACCTCGGGGGCGAGGACATTCGTGCGCCGATGGTGCTTGATCTTAACAAGTGTTTTAGTAAAACCGAGGACAAGTGTCTTCATCATAGGGTATTTCAGAAAAGTCTCATCAACTGCCTCCCAGCCTTCGATCTTCTGACACCGAGGACACGCGTCGTAAGGAGACGAAGGGTTTTCCAACAACCACCAGTACTTCA